CTATCAAGCATCAGGTCGTGGAATAGTTGTCCAGGAAGATTATTTGGCTCCGCCTGGTATCCTCCGATGGCCTTTGAGGTACGGGACCCAACACGGCCATTGGCGTCGATCAACCACAGCTCAGGGACGGCGGTGTCGAGTACTTGGCGTAGCCTGTCTTTAAGTTCCTGCCACCACTTACGGATGGCCTCTTGACCCGCTCCGCTGTGCGGGCCATGCCCAATCACTGCATTGAGAGAAAAATGCTGACACCTTATCGCCACAACGAGCACCCTCGGCGTCGCATAAAGTACTTTGCAATGCCGAGGCAGCAAGCGTACGGAGTCAAATATCGCAACTGAAGTGTTGATCCAGCATGAGCAACCAAATCGACGATATTGGTCCCCCGCGGAGTGGATGACATGATATTCTTTGACCCTGGAAGTTCCAGACCGCGGGAATCTAGTCTCAACCGTACCAGCGAAAAGTACCCGAGAGGTCGCCAGTTTGTGCCCAATGTAGGCCATCCGTCCAGGTAGGAAAAGACCCGTGGTTTTGGCAGATCGATGGGCCCTGGGATCCAGCGTGAGAACGTTGGCGGCGACTACCGTGTGGGCTCGAGTCAAACGAGAACCTCCTGGCCCCTCGTTTTGCCCCTTGGCCTTGGCCCTTGGACCATGCTCAAGTGGGGGAGCCAAGTCCCTCAAAGAAAAAGTAGACGGCATGGATATGTTCAGCATGATCCCTGGGGCAGGAGGAAATTGCCCTCGGACCTGGAGCGGGGCCGAGTCGAGCCAAGCCCATGCCAGAGCCTCTAAATGCTGTTCGATATGTCTCCAGTCCGTAGCAAGCTGCCGAAATTGAAATGGGCGCGCCGATGCTAGAGTACAGAGCGTGTCAGCAAACTCATTCCATGGCTGCGCTTGGTGTCCTGCAACGTGGAAAACACGGCAGCTTCTGGCCCTCATACGCATAATTTTCTGAAGGGCATCCAAGAGACGACGCTGGTTCCCAAGAGAGCCCATAGTGGCACCCCCATCGAGCACGTTAAGAACCTCCATGTTGTCCCCGTATAGACAAATATCCCAAGAGTCCAGAGCCCCCAGCTGCAAAAGCCAAGCAAGGGCCCATTGGGCCGCCAGTAGTTCAGCCATAAATGAAAACATATCCGGAGACAAGTCCGAGTCCTCGAAAGTAGAGGCCGTATAACCAACAATGGCGACCCGATCGTGAACGTCCTCTGCCAGAACGACAAAGCCCCAGCTAGGTAGGCCTTTCTTCGCATGAAAAGTGCGGCCAGGGACGAATAAGTCTCGATCTGGTCCAGAACGACACCCTCCTGATCCATCCAAGAAGATATGGATCTCGCACCAGCGATCTAAGTCGGTCATGGGATACAGTCCTGGAAGCGCCTGAACGGTAGAAGAATGCAGGTAAGGGGCAACATCCAACAGACTGCTGTCTAGAGGGGTGTTCCAAGCCTGGAAGAGACACTCCTGGACCACCTGGGTATCCGGGAGCGGACTGTATATGCATCCTCTGGTGGGGGCAGTACCATTCAGAGGAGTAGAAGGTGTGGCTCCCGAATAGAGCTCATCTTGATTGCCCTCTCTCGAGTCCTGCGAAGCGAAGTGCTTCAACTCTGCTGGGCCCCGTTCGGGTTGTGAAAAAGATGCTGCCCCGCTGCCGCCGCCGCAGCGGCATCGTCGGGCGGCACCTCGATGTCGACTCCGTCCATGCTCACGTGCGGCAGGGCCTGACTCTTCTCGGCTGGCTCGTCGGGATGTGCCTCGGTCGCTCCTCGCCTCGCAGCTCGATTGGGATTGGCCTGAACTGGCCATGGGAGCGGCATCTGCCCAGGCAGCAGCGGGTGCGACTTCATGTGCGATGCTGCGGCCTTCAGGCCCGTGGCCTCTCGCATGGCATTGAGCTCCTGCACAGTCATCTCCGGCAGGCCGTCGGCTCCCATCTCCTCGGTAGGTGCTGTAGGCGATGAGGTCGTTGCGGCGGCTGGGGGCAGACCAGAGGCACCCGCTGCCTGCGGCTGCTGGCGCGCCTGCTGAGAGCCTGCTGCGAGCGCCGTCTGAATCGATGCCAGAGTCTGAGCCAACTGCGATAACTGAGTCGCCATGGTGCTCTGGCCTGCCTGCAGCTGTGCAATCACCTGCGGCATTGCCTGAGGTGTCTGCTGCGGCACTTGCTGGGGAGTGTGTGGCATCTGAGCCGCCGATGCGCTCATGGCTGTCACGAACGGGCTGGGCGGCGTCACCATGGCCATCGGGCGTCCATGGTCGACCTCCATGAATGGGCTGGGCTGGGTGGGCTGCTGTCGCCACGGCGGCCCAGACGAGGCCTCTTGTGCTGCTGCTGCTGCTGCCACTTGAGCCTTGGCGTCTGCCTCGGCTTCCTCCTGCTCCTGCATAACCTTGAAGGCTGCATGAATAGCTTGTGCCTTGTCTAGGTCCTCTTGCAAGGCAGCTCGGGTTGCGGCTGCAGTTGCCAAGGCAGTCTTGGCAGCGTCCTCGGAGGCGACAGCGTCCTGCACCCTCTTCTTGGCGCGCTCGATGTAGCGGTCCTGGTTCTGTACCCGATCCTTGGGCGGGTACGCGTGAATGAACATGTAGAGAATGACGGCGTATTCGTCCGTCAGCTCGTTGAGGCGCGACTGGTTGGCCTTCAAAACTTGCTCTGACTTGATCTGGCATTCCAGGGCCTCTAGATTCTTCTTCAGCTGCAGTCGGTGGGCCGCGAGCTCCTTCTGGTCCGACGGCGGCTCCAGTCATGCAGCATGGGATTGTGCCTCCTGCGGCATGGCAGGCGAAATGCCTAGCGAGAAGCCAGGCAGGCTCGAGACAGCTCCGTTTTGCGGTACTCCTCCGCGTCCGCCCGAACCCGACCCTCCCATCTGGGTAGGCTGGGAACTGGATTGGGGCTGCTCTGATTGCGACTGCTGGGGCTTGCGCGGATGCGAGCGGTCGCGTGCCTTCCCTCCTCGTGCCCGAGCCGACGGCTGCGGGGGGAAACACCATGCACACATGCTCACGTTGGGCCAGTTGTGTGTGTGCCACACTGACCACACTGCCACTGTTGCCCCGACGAGGAACCGGGCTGCGCCGAGCTGGAGTCGAGCTGACGCTGCCATGGTCGCGACATTGAGCTGTGATGTGCACGAAGTAGTTGTCCTGCTGTAGCGATGCGCACGATGGTGCGGGCGTGGGTCCGCCGTAGCCGCAGACGTCTGTGCCAAGCGGGCTCTGGCCCGCGTCGGCTCGTGCTGGGCGAGGCGGCGATCGCGGCACGGGCGCGCGGCGGCAGCTATGGCGGGCAGCCGCGCGGCACGTGTGGGGTCGGCCTGGCAATGGGGGGGCCCGCGCTCCCTGGCAGCGCAACCCGCGGCCCCCTTGACCGGCCAACGCCTGGGAAGAGGGGAGGGAGGAGGGGGAGGAGGAGTGGGAGGCCCCTGCTGTTGCTGCTTGGCCCGCCTCTGTCCTCCTCCTTCCTCGGCAGCAGGAGGAGGAGGAGGGGGAGGAGGAGGAGGAGGAGGGGAGGAGGAGGGGGAGGAGGAGGAGGAGGAGGAGGGAGGAGGAGGAGGAATAGGATGAGGAGGAGGAGGAGGAGGAGGAGGAGGAGGAGGAGTGGGTCGAGGATCAATGCTATTGGACATGTTGGGGCCTCCGCCCCCGTCGCCGAGGCTGGATCCGCTTCGAAGTCCTTGTCACAGCGCGCTCCGTTGGAGGTCAGGAGATCGACTTCTGAGGAGGAGGAGGAGGAGGAGGAGGAGGAGCAGGAGGAGGAGGAACAGGAGGAGGAGGAGGAGAAGGAGGAGGAGAGGGAGGAGGAGGAGGAGGAGGAGGAGGAGGAGAACTTTCGAGCCACCAAGCGCCAGGTGCCAGGAGGAGGAAAAGAGAGAAGGAGGTAAGGATGCAATGCAAGAAGCGGGTGCTCACTGCCCAGTGGTCCCAAGGGGACCCGCAGATAAAGTTTTAACCTCCCGCATCGGATCCGATCCAGACTGATCGGGGCACAGCTGGCGTAGGTTTCGTTCCCTCGCCAGCAGGGCCACACGGGTGCGCCCTGTGCTGCACATGCTGCTGACAGAAGCCGCGCATCTAGTCAGCCGTGCTTGTCCGTATCTCTCAATTGAGGGGCTGACCCGTCGGGCCTAGCCTACATGAGTCGTTCCAAAAATGGCGTTGCCTTCGAGGATCGAAGGAGTTGTCATCCCTTCCGCCGCGGAAGGCGGCGGAAGGTCGGCGGAAGTAAAACGAGGCCGCCTCCGCTGGCGGAAGCTGGCGAGTAGAAGATGCGCCCCCGAGGGATGAAAACGTTTCTGGGTTCAGGGTTCCCGAAATCCGCCGCATGGCCTACGCAGGGCTCATGCTTCCCACGTCCCCCCCCCCCACACCCCGAAGGGAGGCATTGAGTCGGGCGGTGAAGGGTTTGAGTATTTTTGTTGTTTTTCGCCCAGGATCCCCCTGTAGGGGGACGCCCGACTTAAGGGAGGCAGGAAGACGCCGGCTGGAGGCCACCGCGCCTGTCGAGGGGACGACCCCGGGCTGCGTTGCCGGGCCGCCGCCGCCCCATCCCTGGGCGCAGCGGCACGCCCCCCGCGGACCCGCACTCGGAGTGAGGGCGCTCCCGTCGGACGCTGAAACCGGTGCCCCCGTCGGATGCGTCGTCGCCGTCGTCGGCAGCGGCGTCGGCGTCGTCATCGGCGACGACGACGACGACGACGACGACGACGACGACGACGACGACGACGACGACAGTCAAGCTGAAACCGAACCGAGGAGGAGAAGGAGGAAGAAGGGGAGGCGGGGGAGGAGGATGCAGCGGGGGAGGACGAGGAGGCGGGGAAGGAGGAGGAGGAGGAGGAGGAGGAGCAGGAAGAGGAAGAGGAGGAGGAGGAGGCGGGGAAGGAGGAGGAGGAGGTGGAGGAGGAGGAGGAGCAGGAGGAGGAGGCGGAGGAGGAGGAGCAGGAGGAGGAAGCCGTGGCACCTCTCAGCGGCGCCCCAGAGCAGGTGGACGCCCCTCTCTTCACGACGGCCAGGGGCACCGACCCGGACAAGCGGGCGCCGACCTCTGCGGCTGCGGCCGCGGGCGGCCTCCCGGCCGTTCGGCCGTGCCCCTCTCGCGGCACGCGCGTCTGGCGCCGTCGCGGGCGACAGCGCGAGACGCGCTGCGGGGGGGAGGAGGAGGAGGAGGAGGAGGAGGAGGAGGAGGAGGAGGAGGTCGGAGGAGGAGGAGGAGGAGGAGTAGGAGGAGGAGGGAGGAGCAGGAGGAGGAGGAAGGAGCAGGAGGAGGACGAGGAGAGGGAGGAAGAGCCGGGAGGAGGAGGAGGATGAGGAGGAGAGGGAGGAAAACGAAGGAGGAGGAGAGGAGGAGGGCGGAGGACAGGAGGAGTACGAGTGAGATGGAGGAGGATTCAGGATTGAGTAGGATTCTTAGGAATGAGGAGGTGGGGGGGTGGCGGGAGGAGGAGGAGGAGGAGGAGGGGAGGATGTGAGGATTGGATTATTAGGATGCTGAGGATGAGGAGGATGTAGGAGGAGGATGCTTAGGATAATGCAGGATGAGGCTGATTGGGGAGGGTAGGATGAGAGGATGATGGGATGAGGAGGCGAAGGATATCTGGGCAGAGAGCCGGATAGCAGGAGGAGGAGAGGATTGGGAGGAGGCTGGGGGGAGGGAGGGAGCGCCCTTTTCGGACGGGGCTAGGACGAGGATAGATCCGTTCCAGAGCGTCCCCGAACGCTCTCAGAGCGTTCCGCAGCGCTCTGAGAAGACCGCGGCGCCCGAGACATCCTCAGGAGCCGCCGGATCTCGAAGATTCTCTGTTCATCCTCACCCGATGGTATTCTCGTCTTGGCTTCGTCTTACGAGAAGCGCTGTGGGAAAGAGAAAGAGCGAGAGCGTCCTTTCCCCTGTGGGCCGCCCTGCCGCAGCGCGCGCCTTGCGTTCCGCCTGATCCCTGCTCCTCCTCCTCCTGCTCCTCCTCCTCCTCCTCCTGCTCCTCCTCCTGTTCCTCCTCCTCCTCCTGTTCCTCCGCCTCCTCCTCCTCCTCCTCCTCCTGTTCCTCCTCCTCCTCCTCCTCCTCCTCCTCCTCCTCCTCCTCCTCCTCCTCCTCCTCCTCCTCCCGCCCCCTCCTTCGGCGGAAACCAGAAGGCGCAGCCCCGGCCAAGCAATTTGGCAAACTTTGCGTGGTGCGTGGACCGGACAGTCTCGCCCCATGCTGCTGCCTGCTGGCCCACCCCTTTCTTCCCCTCCATGAGAGTGTAAGAGAAAGAGAGAGAGAGAGAGAGAGAGAAAAAAAAAAATAATATAAAGAGAGAGAGAGAGAGAGAAACACGCAAAAAAAAAAAAGAGAGAAAGAGAGAGGCAGAGAGAGAGCGAGAGAGAGAAGAGAGAAAGAGAAAGAGAGAAGGAGAAGGAGAGGGAGAATGAAACGAATAAAGACAGAGAGAGAGAGAGAGCGAGAGTCCAGGCCGCTCAGACGGGGTCTGGGTAGATATGGCAAGGGAATCGCGCCGCATCGCCGATGAATCGGCGATGCGGTTCGATGTGGAGCCCTCTTTCCTCCACGCCGACGGGGCGGATGCCTCGCCGACGTCGCCAACGCATCGGCGATGCTGCACGATCAGGACCGCATAAGAGAGGCCCCCAGGAAAGGACAAAGAGAATGAGCAACAAGCATAGAAATAGAAAGTTGAAAGAATAAAGGACAGGGAGAGGATTCATTAAGAAACCAGGTCCACCGGGGGTTGTAAACAAGATTTCGTCCTTTACCGATGAGGACTCAACCAAAACAAACAGTACTTTAAGATTGTGCGCTTATCTGCTCGCGAGTCGAACAAAAAACATGTATAGCCCAAACCATCGGTACCCGCCCTCTTAGTCTTTATCGTACCCTCCATGGGGTCTATCTTCCGGACTTGCCACGCGTAACTGGTGCAGCCACTAAAACAAAGGTAGAGAGGACGGATGCGAGGGGGAGTGAGATAAATGGAGCACGTGAGAAATTAGGAGGAGGGGGGCTAGGAGCAGGAAAACAAGCGGCTGAACCACACGGGCGGGGCCGGGCGGGCGGACCCTGAACACCTGGCACCAGGGGCACAGTCTGAGTCTCAAGATTGCCCCCTGCTACAAACAAGGTGCGACCCCCGGGAGATGCACTTCAATTGAGAAACGCAATGAGCACTGCGCGGGGGGGATCAACTATTGATATCTCTTAGAGAAACTGAATTCAACCACAACAACAGCTATTCATTCAAAACTGTTCGATCTTACCTGCTCCCGTGCCACTCAACTCGTCTATCCCAAACCCTCGATGCCCGCCTTCTCTAATTTCGATCGTACCCTCCAAGGGGGTATACCTTCCTTACATGCCACATGTAATTGGGGCAGCCCCCAAAACAGGGGAGGAAAGGATGGATGGAAGGGAGAGGGAGAAGGATGGAGCACGAGAGACACTAGCAGGAGGGGCTTGGGAGCAGAAAACACGTGGCAGAAACAGACCGGCCGGTCGGGCGGGGGGACCCTGACTGGCGGGTCGGGAAGGCGGGGCTCGGGCTGCCAGGTCGAGCAAATGGGTTGCTGAGGCGTGGGCCCTGCATGAATCGCGAGGCGGTCTCGAGTGACATCGCGATCCCCAACAGAATCGGTAGAAAATCCACAACGAGAGCGCGATCCCTGCATAATTTGCGAGGACGTCCCGCGCAAGAGCGCGACTTGAAGTACATGTTGAGGAAGTACCAGGCGGGAGCCGCTATTGTTGTAAACCGGAGACAACAATAATCTTAAGATGGCTCATTTTCAGATGTCCGCATGTCGTTCATTCTGCATTTGCACATATATATATATATATATATATATGATTAAATAAATATGTACAGCTATATATATAAACAAACCCTTATACCCGCCCTCTTCGTCTTCGATCGTACCCCCCTTGGGGGCATATCTTCCTTACCTGCCACGTTTAGTTGGCGAAGGAACCCAAACAGGTCAAGGGAGGGAGGAGGGACGAGACAAGGGGAAGGGAGAAGGATGGAGCGCGAGAGAGATCTGCAGGAGGGGGGGGAGGAACAGGAGCACAAGCGGCAGAACCAGACGGGCGGGTCGGGTGGACGGACCCTAACGGGCAGGTCGGGCGGGCGGGTCCAGACTGCCAGGTCGATCGGGCGGGTCGTTGACGCGTCAATCTCATTTGAATCGCGAGGAGGTTTTGAGCGATAGCGCGGTTCTGATCGCCATGAAATCCAAAACGCGACGGTAGTTCCAAAGTGTTGGAGGCACGGCGCCGCAATACATTGCGAGGAAGTCCCACGCGAGAGCGCGATTCCTTTTTATACATTGTGAGGAAGTCCCGCGCTATAACGCAGGTTGAAATTAATTGTGCAGGGATATCAGGCGGGAGCCGTTGTTGTGGTAAACCAGGGGCCAACAACACAGTCTGAGGCGCAAGGTGTTCCTTTCCACAATCAGAAAAGTAACGTAACGCGTGCTTGCAAGAGCTGTTGCGTCGCCGGGGCGCCGCGTTTTGCACAATAAAATGTTGTCCTGTAGTTGGAGGACCAACTCGGGTACCACACTGAGAAATGGTGATCTCCTTCTGCACGCAGGCACCCGTGCATGGATAGCGAGCGAGTAGCATGTCCTGCGCTGCACTGTGCTGCGAGGTTGGCGCCACGGACGGCGAGAGGCCGAATTCGAAATGAATGATGTGTACTGCTGGCGTGTCGATTGCGACACCGTCGACCCCAAGGCAGATCGTCAACCATGCTCCTCTTTGACGCCGTCACTCAGAGGAGAAAAATGTACCCATACCTCTACCCGTCGCCCCTTTCCCCCTTTTTGGGCCTCCTGGGAGGCCCTCGCCGCCACCGCTCGATTCGCTTCGAAATCCTGGTCAGAACGCCCCCCGGGAGAGGTCCGGGAGCAGCGGTATCGGTACCGGTTGGTTTCCCCATTGGCGCCGTCATTGATGTGAACAATAGTTGCGCCTCCCCAGCGCCCTTCTGCTGCAGGTGCAGTACCCCATGACGACCAACGGAGGCTGCAACAACCACACACCAGAGGCGTGGCGAACCCTTGGCTTGTCCTCTGAATCCTGGGTTCACCTGCTTGTGCTTGCTGTCTTCCGCTCCCCCTTATCCTTCAACGCCCCCAGCAGATCGATCATCCTCTCCTGTCCTCATTGTCGTCTTCATGATTATATCATATGTTTTCGCGTTCCCTTGTGGTTGCCGTCTCACGGCTTCCCATGCTTGCCACTAATTCTCCAAGCCACAGGACCACATGTCATGCTCTCCCACACGTACCAGCTCATTCATCATTCATACAGGCCGCGTGCATGAACTTGACACGTTGGCGTGCCATCATTGACCGCCCGCCTTGCGATCGTCTGTTGTCTTCGTCACGCCGGATCTGGGAGGCCTAGAGGCTGGCACCAACACCAGTGTCAGCGGTTCCTTGCACCGAAGGGAGATGATTTGATTTTGGTAATGGTGGTGATACTCGGGCTCATTAGGTGGCCGAGAGATTACCACCAGCACCAGCATCCAGGATCATCTTCTCCTCCCAGTTGTCTCGCTTGTGTGCTATACCCGCCCGCCTTTCCGCACCTTGTACTGCCTGTTGTGCGCGCAACGGGAGGCAATGTTAACACATCGCACTCGCCTCATTGTGTCGTTGGGATTTCGAATATGTTCTTCCTCCCTCCAATACAAGTAGAATACAGGATCATCCTCCCCTGGTGGAGGCAACCCCCTGTGTTGGTGTTGGTGCCAATTACCAGGCCCCCCCTGATTCCTCCGCCCCATCCACTCTCAGATATAGGAGATGAAAATATGATACGTATTACACTTTCGGAGGTCCCTGCAGATGTTTTGGATCGGTGCTGGATCGCCCTCCCGCACGCCAGGGGCGGCGCCATGGGGACTCCAGCGCCGATCCAAGCGATCCGCGCGGACCTCCGAAAGTGCATGCTTGTGTCAGCTGTTTCTCCTCGACTGGTGTTGTCGACTGGACGTAAGAGTGCCCTTTCGCTGGAGTGACCTTTGGTGCGGGACCAATGGGGCCCCCCGATTGCCGAACGCGATGCGGCAGCAGCGTCTTGCGCGCTCGTGTTTGGTCCCCCCCCAGCCCCCCAGAAGCCGCGCACCAGAGGTCACTCTTGCCCAGGATTACCATAAAACAGGGCTAGGATCGGGATAAGTCGCTCAAGAGCATTCCGGAGCGCTCTTAGAGCGTTCCGGAACGCTCTGGAGCGGCCGCGGCGCCCAATACATCCTCCAAACCCGCCGATTCTCAGAGATTTCGAGTTATCCCGATCCGATTATGTCCCGATATTCGCGTCGTTTTAGACGTGCGGGCTGCACAGGTCGGGATCGACAGGACACGAGGGTGCCCTCGATTTGGCAGGGTCGGCCTTCTAATCACAGGGCTTTTCTAGGAGGGGGAGGGGGAGGAGGAGGGGGAGGGGGAGGAGGAGGAGGAGGTGGAGGAGGAGGAGGAGCAGGTTACCCTTGCGAGTGGTCGGTGCCGGTGCCGATCTGCAGGCCCCCGGGTTCGGGGGCAGCGCTAGGGGGCGGGGGTCGACACGCCTGCCCTGCCGGGGGGGGCCCTCGGAGGAGGAAGGGCGGAGGAGGAGGATCACGGAGGAGGAGGATCACGGAGGAGGATCGAGGAGGAGGAGGAGGAGGATCGAGGAGGAGGAGGATCGAGGAGGAGGAGCACCGAGGAGGAGGAGCATCGAGGAGGATCGAGGAGGATCGAGGAGGAGGAGGAGGATCGAGGAGGAGGTGGGGGGCCCGACGGCCCCAGCCCGCCCACGGGCGTGCGGCTCCGCCCGCGGGGCCCGGCAGCGGGGGGCCCCGGGCCAAGAGGCGCCCCGCTCGCCTCCGCGGTGCCCCCTGGGCCTCTCTCTGTGGGGCCTCGACGGCTTCGCCGCGGGCGGCGCGGCGTCCCCGCACCGGGAGCCAGCGGACGCCCTGGGGCCTCGTGGTTGGGCAGCTTGGGGGAGGCTTCCTGAGGTCGGGCCCCCCACCTCCTCCTCGATGCTCCTCCTCCTCCTCCTCGACCCTCCTCCTCCTCCTCCTCGATCCTCCTCCTCGATCCTTCTCCTCCGCCTCCAGCTGCATCGCCGATCTGTCGGCGACGCCTCGCCGATCCCAGGTCGACGCCGCCCCCCCCCCCCCCTGAACCAGCCCCTCCCCGCTGCTGCCAAGGGGGGTCACCACGTGATCCCTCCGCCCCAGCCCGCTCTCGCATCGTCGGCGCGCCGCCGCCCCGACCCCCGACGCGCCGTGGTCTCTCGCGGCGTGGACCCCCCGTGGCCTGGACCCGCTCCCGAGCCGCTCTCCGACGGTCCCGAGAGCCGTTCTCCGCAGACGTAAACGCGTTTAGTGTCTCCGAAAATTCGCTGGGAAGGGTCGCGGTTCGGGTTGTTTCCGGTGTCTCCGTATCGGAGGTTGTCCCCTTGGCTGACAAGGAGGTCGGGGTGGCTCGAATTCGAGATTCGATTTGCTTCGTGGGGATCTGGTTGGGGTGTCGGCCCGAGGCCTCCGGTCCCGTGGTTGCCGCGCGCGCGCGCTCGCTTGGCCCAGCAGGGAGTCGGGGTCCCGAGCGCCAGCCCCTTCCCCCTGCTTGGGCATCGCCTCTTGCCGCGCTGGGTTCTTCGGCCCGACTCGTGTGCCACCGCGGGGCGGGCCGTTGTGCCGCACGGCCGGCCCTGTGCCGTTTCCCGTCCCCCCCCCCATCCCTTCCTCCTCCTCCTCCTCCTGCTCCACATCCTCCCCCTCGTCCTTCTCCTC